TACAAACAATAAAACACACAGTGGGCTACATAATAATGATTCATTAGTGATGCTCATTGTATTTGAAGTATTAATATAGTATTAATCTAATAACTAAAAAATAAATAAATACTAGACTAGTATAATTATTGAAAAACCAATGTTGATAATTGTGTCATATTGTCAAAACAATTGGGAGTAGGTAATTAGAAATAACTACCTAATATATGGTTATTATTTATTATTATTCCCTATAGAAAATGATAAAAGTCAGCTTATGAAATATAATTGTGTGGAAAACTTAAAAATTCTGAATGTTATTGAATGTTATTTTTAGAACGTTTAAATTTTAAATACATCATTTTATACTGAAAAATTGACAGTTCTTTTTTTAATCAAATATTATGCATTAAAAAAAAACATGTCTTTGCGGAATTCTCGTCATATACGCTATGTGAACAGTGTAAACACTTGAATGTATTAGTTTGAGACATAAATAAAAATTAAAAAATATATGATAATATACCAGTTCTTAATTTTTTTTTTTCTAAATCAAAAACGGGTTTTACGATTTACCTATACCATAACAATACAAAAACTGACTTCGGATAGATACGAGTATTTAGCATAAGATAAAAACCTGTTGGTTATGAATTTATGATATTTTAAATAACATATCAAAGAAAGTAAAGAATGTATAAAATAAAAAAATGTAATGTTTACACTATTTTGAATGAATAATTTTAGCAGTTACCTATTGTAGTATTGTTTATTTTAATAAATGTCTAAAATACTAAAAACAAATGTATGACAGTAACCCGGAATTGATTATTGGGTGCCAAAGTTAAATAAATGAAAAAGAATAATAATTGGGCATAAGACTAAGCCCATTACTATAGTTTGTGAATTAGTAAACAAAGTTTTATGAATCTACAAGTATTAAAATATGGTCAAAGTATCAACTGTAGGTCTACGCCTATATTATAATATTATCCTTGGTCACTGCAATTTTTGAAAACTACAATAATTGTTCGTAATAATATTATAATCAAATGAATTTACCTCAAATTATCAATAAGGTATCCAAATAATATCTAATATATCTAATTATACGGTTCTACAACTATGGGTCAAGGGTCAACTGAGAAATATATTTTTCAATTTATTTTAATAGAATTTACTGTTTTTGGAATTATATTTTTTTTTTCTTTGTTTTTTATTGGTCTTAAGCCCAGCAACTTAAGCCACTAGTTTTTAGTTCGAACACGTGTTTGTATATGTGTGACAATGATTGGTTGCTAAGAATCTCGGATGGGTGATCCATCTGGGAGCTAGCAACACCGGCCGGTACGCAACTGAGTGACAGACACCGCTCCACACCAAGCCATGCATTATATTTTAATCACTATGTATCTTAGTATCTATATATTTAAGTATATTGCATCATAATTGTGTTAATTCATGCTCAATAAATAAAAAAAAAACTTAATTGCTTTTTTTCATAATTGCAAGAGTATCCATAACCGACCGAGCTTGAAATATTATGATCAATATAGACTATTTCAAAAATGTCACACAAAATAAAATTACAATTTTTAAATGATTATTATTTGATTTATTTTCAATAACATTTGAAAATTTTTTTCATTGTCAAAAAAAAAATCCTTTCAACTTACCATTTTTAAGACACTCGTTTATTCAATAACATGTATTTCATAGTTGACGAGAACCAATATCGTTTTATTCGGCATTACGGAATAATTAGTGTATACAAGGTCTTGAATTAGATTTTTTATGTTTCCTGAATCTGAAAGTATAAGACGTACAGAGTCATACAGACGTATAGTATTATATTTTATTGGTTAACCTTATTGTTACACGCCTCTTGTTTACCTTCAATTGAAATTTGAACTAGAAATACGAGAAGCATTTTGGGTAGTAAAAAGAAGAGGTGAAAAATTAAAAATATATTGTTTTAAATTATAAATGAGGTACTTATTACATATATAATTATTAGTTATGTAATAATATTATACAGTATGCATATGCCATATTATGCTGCTAATAGGTACATCGTACCTTATTATTAGATAAATTATATGATTTTATAAATTATACAAAATAGAATCACATTTCGAAGAGTCTGTGATCGAAGTGAAATGAGTAAAGTTTGTGCGGCAGACTTATAAAAATCAAATTCAAGACATGTTGAAATAAACACATTTATAAAACACGTTGGTTAAAAAATAAATCTGAGCTGAGGGAAACCAAAAGACATTTACTAAAATATAATAAATTTACTGAGAACCGGACACTGTTTTATAATAGCTAAAGAAGATCCACCAATTTGTGAAACCTGTAGAGTATTGGTTAAATATAATAAGTATAGGTAGGTAGTGACAGATTTCCGACAATTCACAGATGACCTTAACATAATATAAGATAAAATACCCAACACTATTTGGATACGGCGCTACGACCAAATGCAGAAAATTACCAAACAATATTATTTTATTTAAAAGAAAAAAAAACCAAAATTGAAAAACATAATTTATTCAAAAGAAAAAAAACCAACAGGGGGTGGTTGTGTGCCAATTTTTGCCTCATAAGTCAATGATGTGTAAAAATAGTTATAAATAGATATTAAGTTCAAATATTTTGAAAATGAAATTCTGTAAAATATAATATATCTGCCTACGTAATGCCGTAATGGTGAATAGTTCTAAGTATCCTGACGATTAATATCTTTTGAATTTCAACAAATAAAAAAATAGTTTGAGGAGAAATCGTTATTTTATTTTAGAAAACCTAATTTCTACAACATTTGAAACGTAAAAAAAAACATTTTAGTATGTGGCTTTATTGTTAACTTATGAGGAATCTTGATTCACATTCAAGATTCTGGGAGCAGTAATATATGTATTGATTTTACAATAATGTGTATTTTTTTAAGTATTAAAATAAAATTGTTTAGATATTTAGACAAAATCTGAACTTTAAATAATTTTATAAAATTAACTGTGACTTAGTAATTATGGCATTTTTTTTATTGATGCACAGACAACTTATGACACCTAAACCTTGTATAACTTTTTCAAGCTTTTGATTCAAAAACATACGTCACTTTATTAAGATAGATTAAAAAATAGTAAAATAAAATAAAATATTTCATATATATATATGATTATATGAATATCTCAAAAAGGGCGAAAATATTAAAAAAATTATATGAAGTCTAGACAATTTTTATATGAATACTTATCATTTTTAGGTTCATAGAAAATCCAGTTCTATTCTTATCATTTTGTGGGTCTGCAAACCTGGACCTCCGTGACGACCTTGAACTATTTATACATTTTGAATTCGAAAAATAATCAAAATCTATTTTGTCAAAAACTGGTGTTAAATACAAAATATATACAATATTAAATACATTTACTGTTTTTTCATTATATTGTTTTAACTTTTTTAATCTAATAACTAATAACTTATAAATGTACAAAAAAAACTATAAACCAGTAAGAATATAAAGCCAAATTTTTAATTTCACCAATATGGAAAAGAAAAAGAAAATAATGATGGTTGCAAAGATTATACATTTGAAAGCAATTTTATTTACATTCGTAATTTACATGATAACAAAAATCAATATCGTTACAAACTATGTAGATTAATATCATTAATTAATGATAAATAATAATTTTATAGTGTCTTAAATGATTTTTTAGAAGTTTGTAATTTATAATAAAGATACTTAATATTATTATTCATATTCGAAAATCAAACTTTGTTTATTTTATGATTTACGTACAAGGTAGGAAAGGTAGGTGGGTACTTCATAAATATTATACTGCCTAAATATTAGTTTCGCTAGTTAAATTAATGTAATTACAAAATAGGTACCTAGGTATAGTAGTAAGTCAATAAATAACCGAACAACTATTCATGGACATAATAAAATTTAATTTGTCATAATATCTGTACCGCTGTGGCGTTGTAAGCTTCGTATAGTTTGTCAAACTATAGTTATAATAGTCAAAGCACAAATAAATAAGTTAAATTGTAGTCTTGATTTTCGAGTACCTATACAAATTGTAGACACATCACAGTTATAAATTTATAAGTCGATATATTTCTTGTTGAGTGTTGATTCAATTGTATAATAATTATTGTGAGAACTAGAAAATCGCAAAAAAAATTAAATGTAAAATGACAACTATTTACAAATTACCAACTGATTAGGTACAGTCAACGTAAAATGTGTAAATGGAAGTATTAATTAAAATCAGAGGGGATAGATTAAAATTACACGTCAGCTATTAATAGTTTAGTTTTACTAATTTAACCTGAGAAATTAAAACAGTTTGTAACCTATAATTAAAAATAATTTCTTGAAAACAAAATGCTTTTAAATATTGTTGTTCAACAGTCGTATATTTTTCTATTAATAGAATTATCTCCCATATGAGTATTAACTATAATTATATTTTTTAAACAATTATTTGCCATCACTTGTGCCTATATTATAGTATGTTAATATGCTATAGGTATTAGGTATATTATATAGTAAATATATGAATGTACGATACAACGAATCAACATTTTTTTTCTGTTATGACAAGGACGTCATTTTCAATTATCATTAATAATATTAACATAATAACATTCTATAGTGTCATCGTGATAATAATAATATGTACATCTTATTATAGTATCATCGTCATAATAATAATATATACATATTATAATATATTTATGGTTATTAATTGAAAACACAATCCATTTTTGAAATTGCGTATTAAAAAATTTGGTTGATTGATGAAAAACTAAATATTGATATAATATACGAAATTCGAATAGTTATCACAATGAATAATTTTTAAAATGCGTAATAAAATATATATATGTATATTTAATATTATGCTTTTAATGCTGATAATAATAATATTTGTATACTTAATTAATGATTATATTATATTATTTCAAACTACAATACCTAATAACATAATTTTATTTTTCAGATTCACTTTAAAAAATGGATCCACTTGACGATGTTGACAATTGTGAACCCCATCATCACCTGCTTAAAAGACCACCTGTAGATATCGAATTTTCAGACTTGACTTACAGTGTACCCCAAGGACGAAATGGTGAGAAATTAAAAAAATATACATTTTATTGACCTTTTTACTGTAATTATTTTTTTTTTTAATTATGACCTTATCAAAAAGTATTGTGTTTGTTACATAACAATATATTAAAAATTAAAATACCCACTTGAGACGATTATACAATGAGATAATTAATCAAACATTAAGCATATAATTTTCAAATTGTATATACATATTGTATATATATAAATTGTAAACATTTTAAATTGACACTAAATTGCTGTCGTTCATTTTTATTTTGCATTGCAATCCTTGTATCGATAAATTTAAGGAACAAATGTTTAACAATTAATAGACACTAGTTATTATATTATTACTATTTCGATAAAAGTATACAACCTATACAAATAAAAAATGTACCTATAGACGTAGATCATTAATAATAGTAATTTAAATAATATACGATTACCTATAGTGATTACGTCCTCCTATAGGTACTCGTCAGATAAATATTAATAATTTATTGTTTGTGACCTACCTGCTATGATGACATTTGAGAATAGTTTTTTATTTAATGACTTAATTATTATTCAATATGGTGGCAGTGTTTTTGGGCACTCTTATTTATTTACTCACCTCAGTATCGCATGATAATAGTGTATTGTCGTATTATTTATTATACATTTAAAAGCATTAGTAAACAATAACGTTCAAAAATTCGAAATTTTTCATAGTCGATTTCGAGTATCAAACAATTTACCATCCTTTTTTTTCTGTTGACGATGATTTTTTGATCACTTAATACTTAAAAATATTCACAGGTTCATAAGTACTACCACTTCATACGTCAGAAATTTTCTATAAACGGCCAATTCTAAAATAAAAGTACCTATTTATGTACCTATCTAAAACATGGTAAATAGTTAAGTGCCTTATAGAAAGAGCAAAATTTGCATTTAGTAGAACTAGTTTTGTGTTGATAACTTTAACATAAAAGTGAATTGACCTGTTATGAAACTTAAACGTTAAAACCACGTATGTACGTTAATATTTTACGATGTTTAAATTTTCAATCGCAGGTTATGACTTATGAGTAGCCATAGAGTAGGTATATGTAAAATATTTCAATTTAAAAATGCTCACAACTCATTTAAAATTTTAAATGTAGTAGAAACCTAAATTATAAACACAGATTGTTCTTATTGGGCGTCAATTCAATCTTATTTAAAACTAACAACAGGAAATTGGTTCTGTTGTACGCAAATTCGCCAGGAATGAAGTTTGCTTTTAAGACGAAGACAACACTTGTTGTCCTCTCAAACAATCAAATTAACGATAAGTACGTTATAAATTAAACACTATTAATTTACTAATACAAATTGCGTACCTAGTCCTTTCTCTTTTACACATGGGTACAAATTACAAAGAAAAAGTCCGTATGTCTTGACATATACTTAATTTATGAAACAAAAATAATAATAATTCAAAAATGTTTTTTAAACCATACTTGTTATTTTTAAGATACAAATTGTTATAAGTACATTATTTTCATATGTAACGATATACCTACATTACATACTTAATAACAAAGTAGTTCAAGTAAATTAATATTTATGATACATTGATAATATTACAAAATTTAGGCAATCAAATATTCCAATTTAAAGAAATACATTTGAGTCTTGAGATGACTGGGATTTTAATTTAATAACCTTATAATGGGTATTTATCTATACTTGATACTCACACACTTTCTTCATTTAATTCATTATTAAAAAGATGCCGGACAAAATGCTAGCAATGTCGTATAACATGTACCTAATTACTTCATCTCAAGACTACGAAATCAGTTAGTTTTTTTTCACTTCTGTTTTCTAGTAAAATTGTGTATAATATTATCTTATATAATGGGCGTATATGATTAAAAATAATGACGGTTGCAGATAAACAGTTTTAAGTAAATGTAACTTGCTCTGCAGATTCCCGAGGCTCTAAAAATTGCGAACACAGTTTTTATCTTTAGTGTTAAAGGACAGTGACCTCTTTAACGAAACTAGTTATTCGTTGCTAAATCGTATATACAGAGTGAACATCGCCAACCTATTCCTCAGTTATAAACGAACACCTTAGGTTTATGTATTTTTTAAATATGTAAAAGTCATTAAATTTTAATATTATTACAGTGATAAATTTATGACTTATCAATTATATATCAAACGAATTATTTACGAATATTATACTAAGTTGGTATAATACGATGTGTCAAAAATGTCTATACCTTAACTGTTATTTTAAGTTTGATTGTATTTTTTAGTTTTTTTTTATTGTTTTTGTTTAGTCTTTTGTGTTAGTGAGTCAATTTTCAAAATTGTATAGAGACATACAATTTAAAATTTCTTTTTTTTTGAAACACCATTATAAAAAAAAATTTGTTATATTTTCCTCAAGTGCAGTGTATTATAATATGCATATAGGATATACCATAATATATTAATATGTTAGCGACTCTAAATATGTATTTGACTCCCTCTTGGAGGGTCACGAACCTCCAAGTTGTGAATCGTGTTGCATTAATCAGAACTAGAGAATAACTACTGTGTATTACTAGAAAAAGCTATAAGTCATATACATACTATTTTTTTTTAAATTCTCGTTAGCAAGAATACGGGATCCACTGAGACACTCGTGTGGGGGCCCAGGAAAAGGACACTGTGATATACTTAATGACGTTTAGAAACTGATTAGTAAAATGCAACGTCTTAATAATATATAGGTATTTTCCTGAATTTTAAAATAAAATTTTTTTCTAAAATCTATTAACACGTGTACAACATTCTTTTAAATCATTTATATTGTATATTCAATTTTGTAACATAACCTTAACTGATCATTATTGCAGCCAAAGATGCATTAGATCAATAAAAAAAATATACCTATATAATGTTTATTGCTTACATTTACAAATTAATTATTCTAAGATATATATTTTTTTTTTTTGGTCATTGCAAAGGTGATATGCCGGATACAAAGTTCAAATCTAACCAATTTGAATGAATTAATTATACTGTTTTTTATCATCTATGTACGTACCTATTTGTGTTTTTTAATGTATAATTAATTAATAATTTTTTTTAAATAGAAAATTTAAATAGAAATTTTTTTTAAGAAATATATGATCTATAAAGTCTGTAACATAAATTGCAACATAAAAATTGTATTTTGTTTAATTTAAATTTAATGTGCCTGTAATTAATTAATATAATTATAGACTTAAAATGCATTATTATATACGTATATATAAAAAATTTTAATGTCGAGATTTAAAAATTGGCCAATTATGTCATTTTTAAAAATAATTCAGAAACATATAGGTATATATTATTATATAACAAAAAGTACATTATTTCGATTTACACTGTATGTTACGATATTTTGTACGTGTTTAAGTATAAACAATTAATATAACGTTAAGACATTATCTCCAATTCCCAAATGCAGTGGATAAAATCTAAGAAATACGTAAAATTGTAACAATACGTCATCTATGTACATAATAATATAATCCGATAGGAAACTCAAGGTTTATTTTAAGCAGAAGGCCAGTTGATCTTATTTGGTTCTATAATGTCAATACCAGAGGTATCCAGAAAAAAACAATTAAAAAATAATCATAATTTAATAGTGATTAACAAGTGATACATTGTTCAACTTGTTGCATAGTAGTTTTATAATTCTACATAGGATATAATATAATATACACTATTCCGGGTGATTCTATTATCATTAAATTCTTCATATGGTTTCGAATCATTAAAAACAATATTAAAAAATATATATTTTATAATATAATTTTTTATGAGTTACTTTTTTTGAATGTCAACACACAGTTTTAATTTTATATTCCAAAACAGAATATTTTTCTAAATATTTTAAAATCGAATTTAGAACGAGTAGTTTATGAGCTTTAAAGTATTTAAACTTCAGATGAACGGAGTGGAGTGGTATGTGGTAACCCCTCTTTATATACTTATAACTCATAGATAACTCATCTTAAATTCGATTCTTATGTATTGAAATACTCAGAAAGATTATAAAAGATAAAGATTATAAGGTTAACAAATATTTTAAAAATTTTCTTTCAAGAAAAACGCTGTTATGTAATGACTTGAAACCATGTAAAAATATTCTCAAAAACATCAATATTTTTTGAATATTTTGAATAATGAGTATTCTATGTTGAATGAATCACCCGGTATATACGATGTATGTATAATAAACCACTACAATATTGTTCCATTTAAAGTGATAATTAAACTAAACAAAAATGAAACATTTACATATGTAAAGGAATAGTTAAGATCAGATTTATTCATGTTTAAATATTCAATTGGTATTTTATTTACTTTATGTTATCTATATTCATAAGCCTTTAATACCTAAATATAATTGAAAAAACCTAGTTATTTTATATATATATATATTATAAAAATGTAAAAAATATAGTCTAAATACCTGAATATCGTATTACCTTTGTGTTTTTTCTCTAACAGGATCAAAAATTATTCTTCGAAGTGTAAGCGGTTTGTTCAGATCCGGTGAACTGACAGCGATACTCGGACCGTCTGGCGCTGGGAAAAGTACATTGATAAATGTATTAGCTGGTTATAGGTATTAATTTTTCCTCAAACATGTTTATTATTTTACATTTATAACTGTTATCAACACTACTTTGGGTTTGTTAGATGTGGTGATGCCCGAGGTTCCATCATGGTAAATAGCCGACCAAGAGAAATGAAATCATTTCGAAAAATGTGTCGTTACATAATGCAAGAAGACCTCTTGCAACCAGCACTTACAGTATTAGAGTCAATGGAAATAGCATCAGACTTAAAGCTGGGTTATACGATTTCCAAAGAAAACAAACTTGAATCTGTGAGAATAAAGCGATTACGAATGACCAAACAACACATTTTTTGCAATGATAATCATTATTTTTTTAGATCGAAGATATCCTACAAATGCTTCGACTTACTAAATCTAAACACACACTCATGGAGAATTTATCTGGCGGAGAAAGAAAACGATTGTCAATCGCTTTGGAGCTTGTTAACAATCCCCCTGTAATATTTTTGGAAGAACCTACGACGTAAGTGTTTTTATTTATTTTTCATATAGTAAGTATAATTACAATTATAGCGTTACATCAATCACTTTATTAAAACATCGTAGTCTATCAGATCTCGGTTAACCATAACCATAACTCCGTCATAATAATTCAATTTGATAGGTACCTATCATATATATATAGCCCCATAAAAAAAAATAATTTTCATTTTTATTTCAAGGATTCATACAAAATAAACTTTGATATCAGAAATGCATTCGTTATGTTTGTATACATTTTAAAATAAATAATTTTTCTTTTATTTCTTTTAATATAAAATATTATAAAAATCAATTAACGTATATCTTTGCATGTGACATAAATATTAAAATACGCTAAAATAAATATTCAGTAGGTGTACACACTTCAAGCGATTTTCCCTTGTACTAAATACATTTAAACGACCTGCAATTATTGTTCAGTACGTATGTGTAAAATATTGTTAAAGATCCAAGATTATTGAATAAAGATTTTAATTAATATAAATTTATTTAAAAAACAATTAAGTTTATAGATAAAAGTTAATATTTGTAAGTAATAAATAAAATATTTTTATAAAAACAATATTAAACGATATCAATTAATTAATGTTCACCCTACTCGAATATCTACATATAAGTGTACAAACGTATTTGATAGGTACCTAAATGCTGATAAATGGTTGCTGAATATAAACCGTCTAAAGTAGGTAGTTCGCACTTAATCGCACTGGAAAGAACTTTATCTGTGTCGTAGTGTTTCGATTTTTTTGATAGCACTACCCAATATTTTGTAATTATTAAATAAAAAAAAACCCAAAAAAACCTAATGTTCCCAAACCGATAACATGTATTGTATTTATGGTATCGAAATAATACAACGCTTAAAGCCCTTCTTTCACTTTTGTAATATTTTGATTATTTTTTCTATAAATACGGCGCAAGAAAAGTTGTCAACCGCGCCAACCAGCTTTTACAACCAAATTACGGGTAGTATGGCGTCCTTTTAAACAAATATTATTTTTTTTTTCCCAGTGGCTTAGACGACTTATCCAGTTCACAGTGCGTGTCATTACTTAAGGATCTTGCCTATGGTGGAAGAACGATCATATGTTCTATACACACACCCAGTGCAAAACTATTTGCAATGTTTGATCACATATATATAGTGGCCGAAGGACAGTGTATGTTTGCAGGAGTTGGCCAGGATATGGTTCCATACCTATCTACCGTAGGACTCAATTGCCCTAAACACTACAACCCGGCAGACTTTAGTAAGCATTAATGAGGATGATTATGAATGACAATGCTTTGCGATCAATAAATTGGTTTTAAAATCAAAAAAAATTGCCCTGTTGTGTTTCCTCTAGTGATCGAAGTTTGCAGTAGGGAATATGGAGATTATTCGGAAAAAATGTCAACAGCAGTAGACAACGGTAAATGTTTGAGGTGGTTCAAAGATAATTCTGAAACAAGGAAGCCAATTGTACGCCGAGCGTCACAGTACGACACTGTTTCCAATCATCTATACGATTTTTCTAGTACGGGATGGTCTCAATTTAACGTGCTCCTCAGGCGAATGATGATACAACATAAAAGAGACTATGTAAGAATCTTTAAAAAAATAAATAAATAAAAGAAACCATATGCGCTCTTGAAAAGTGGTTAACATTTTATATGATTTAATTTTAGACGTATTTATTGTTCAAACTGTTCATGTACACATTCATCGGCCTAGTAGTCGGTGGCATGTTTTTTCAATTTGGAAATGACGCTTCCATGACTATTTTCAACTATGGGTTTATATTTATTACAATCATCGTTTTTATGTATACACCACTTATGCCAGTATTGTTAAAATGTAAGTCTTATTGAGATTCATGATTTATTACACGATTTGTTTAATTTATAATAACGAAATATTATATAATTGCAGTTCCTACAGAAGTTCAACTTTTGAAACGGGAATACTTCAACCGTTGGTACGGGCTGAACGCTTATTTTTGTGCACTCACTTGCTCACAACTCCCGATGCAGGTAAAGAAAAACATTTTAGTATTACGAGTTATAACAACCATACTAACTAGCTGTCTTATACAAGATACTTTTTAAAAATATTCAAGTACAGATACTGATGCTAATTTGAAAATTATTCAAATAGTCAGCAAAAACAATATTTGAGTACAAATAAAAATACTTAAAAAAGTATATAATATAGAAACTTCTAAATAATTTCAAATTTTTTATAAAATATTTTTTTTTTACCTTATACATCAATTGAACCAATTTTCACGTGTTGCGTTAATTTTATACAGCATATTATATTAAATTATATCATATTTATACACTATATTTGGAAGAACATTCTCTAAGATACTCAACTGTCTTCTGTGACCAAGTATTTGATTATCGGTTGAGTACAATTCGCAGTAAAAACATATATATTACTATATAAGTACTCATATTCTTAATTTGTATTTTACTAGATCAAAATTAAAATAGAATGTATATAATAAAACTATAAACTAAAAATAACTATTGAAGTATTTGAAAATTAGTATTAGATTTTAAATACAGATATGTATTTCAAGAAAGTACTCAAGTACTTTACAAAACTGTATATTATACAATATTAGTATATTATTATTAAATCATATTTTTTTAAACATATTTACCCATTATCTTGTTATAAACTTTATAGATTATTCTATCGTCAATCTACATAGCGATAACTTACTTCTTGACAAACCAACCGTTGGAATGGGAACGAGGAATTAAATTTTCCGTCGTTTGTTTGATGGTGTCCTTGTCTTCAGAGAGTTTGGCGTACGCGATTTCTTCACAATTCAACGTTACGGTAAGTTCTTCGACACCTACAGTGCATTTCGGTACACTGGGTCATTTTTTATCATCACTTTATAACCAAATGGCACATTTTAGTTTAAAAATATGTAATATAAAAGTCGTGAAAATACAATATGTTAGGAGATTGCAAAAATATAAAACAAAATATTGGGGTCAACGTGAAAAATGTTAGATTAGTAATTAGAAAGTAGAAATACACGGGTAAATCACTACTCTGTATAATTATTATAGTACCTACCTACAGGTTTCAACTTTCAAGTGTGCCTCGGTATTTAGCAGTACCTAGCTACTAACTGGTCACTATAATAGTATAATAATAAATGTGTAAAATACTAGAATTTAATTTAAATTACTCTTTACAAAAGAAAGAGGTCCATGTTTAGCATTTACTTCTAAAAATAGTTTATGTTCATCACATTTATAATAATATTATAAGTATTTTCTTAATTCAGTGGGTTGAACAGATTTTTGCCAAACACATAACACATAAGTTAAAAGTTTATAACTTATAAATAAACACCAACAAACCGTAGATCGAGTAGGTTCGAGTTATGAAAATTGTTTAAATATTTTGAAAATCACACTATGTTTAGAAAATAATCATTTATGAAGTAATGAAAAGTTTAAATTCTCTAAGGCCAAAAAAATTATAAATAAAATATTATTATTATAATTTTATTAATATTTCTGAATCGCAACAAAATAACAAAATCCATTTTGTCAAAAACTAGAGTTACATAAATATTATGTTTTCCCATTGTGTTTTGTTAATTTTTACAATTATTAAGAAAAGTACTTGAATTTTTGGCTTCCGTAAGTATTAGATCAAATTTTCAACCAGGAACCACCATCAAAGTTGAAGATTGGAGTTAATTTTCTACTCCAGTCATGATTAATATTATTTAATAATAATTAAATTATAATTTATAAAAAATATCGAGCTACGGTTATTTATCTTACAGTACGATCAATCATATTTATAATATTTATAATATCATTAACATTTTCTTATTTTAATTACCCGACATTACGGTAACCTGTTTAACAAATGTACGAGACATTATTTATTTTCTAGTATTATAAGACGTCATTCGTCCTTCGTGAACAGTGTCTAGGTTTAGATACAGGGCGGAAATATATAGCTTACCTATTAGTACAGTCACACTAATTCACTATAATATAAATGGACCATGAGCAAAAATGAGTTCTAAGGTTCTATATAAAATATAAAATTAAATATTAAAAAGCGCTTTAAAATTAAAACAATAGCTAATTATTTAACAGATACTCAATGTGCGGGTTAAGTCGATTGTTATTTTTTCCATTTCGTGACACGTTTCAGTCAAAGTGGAATGTCGATAACGTATAAAAATAAAAAATAAAAACAAGTTTCGTGCAGCAATTATTTCAGAGGACTGCGTTTTCTTATACCATTGAGCACGTTACTAAAAACAACTGCTTCTAACATTTTTAATAATTTATACATTGAGCAGTTTAGTATACACATTAATTCAACGATAAACTATGAAATCTCTTGTTTGGGTATACGAACTATAAAGCAAAATATACAGAAATAATAATCTAATTAATTATGATTTAAAATAATTTGGAAAACTAACATGCATTATAATATACAAATCGGACGTCATTCTAAATAGTTTTATGATAAAATCAAAACTTAAATCATATATTTCGGAAAATTGAACATTGAATTCATATCTTTAAAATATACAAGTAGTTATTGATGTATGCCGTTACATTTTTTAAGCATGCTCATGGCTCACTCTACATTTATACTTAAATTATCCATACATTCGAATTCTAATTTTCGGAATTTTCAAATATTAAACAGTTTTAAATAGGCACTTGCGATTTTTTACCACTTAAGGATCATTCTGTAAGAAAAAACTTCTATTTTTGACTTTTAATTATTCAGCAGATAATTTTTTTTTTTATTTAGATATATTTATCTAAATCAAAATTCGAACGATAGCTTTTAAGTAACATAACTTTGAGTACTAAGGACAATATGTTTATTTTAATGACCAATATCAGTTAAGTAAATACAGTGGCTTTTGTGATTTTAAAATGTTAGTAATTAATAATTACCAACTATTGATCTATCAATTTAATTATTTTTTTTGAGAATGATTCAAGTGTAAAAAATATTACATCTTGTAGGTATTACATAACATTGTTTATATTTTTTTTAAACGATTTTCAAGGATTATTATTAGAGCTTCGATTTAGATGCATCTAAATAATTTGCAGTAAAAAGAAGGGAGGGATGTTCTCATTTGATAAACTGAAGTTTGTATCGCCACGTGAGTACGTGACACTCTTTAAGCAGTACCAAAAATATAGAGAATTTGAAAATATGATCTTTAAGTGTGTTTAAAAATTCTAAAAATCAGAATTTGATTAAGTGTACTAATAAATAAAAAAAATAGTGGGGAGGAATCACTCTGTATTAATAACCGTATAAATTTGATAAAATATTTACTTTTAATAAAATAAGGGAGTTCACTTCCCCCTCCAATCATCGCATGATATTATTATGTAGCTCACAATGTTAGTATAATAATAATAATATGTAACATATAATGCCTTTTGTAAGTCTTATCATTATACAACTGTGATTCTTGTTCTACGAGATAGTTTTGCAACTGGAATGTCCAATACGTCGTTTTACGAACTTCAAGTGTCATGTAGGTACCTATAGGTATTATATTGTACAAGACCCCTCTTCACATTCGTACACGTCGAGTAAAATATTTTCTCCGCTGATGAAATACTGTTTTTATATGCCACCTCTAATCCTGCCCCGTAATTAGTTATAACTATTATACCTAACTAATTCCTTTGCTTGTAATATTATATTAATATAGGTAATATTGCATTACATATTGGAACGCGCCCATCATTACTACCACTCATTAGTCATTATTTATAAGTTATAACTATTATACTATTAATTATTATTGTAGTGGGTATTTTACATCACTGCAATAGCTGCGCGAGACAGCACTATTATTAATTTAAATTGTAACTTCTATTTGTATGACGTCTTTCTGATAGTTTTCTGTAAAATATAATAATATTTCAAAAATTAAAATATAATCTAATCATTTTTATAATACTCAACATATTCAAACAAAAATTAAATTAAAAATATATTCTATCATATCATTATTATATGGGACGGGGAAACGTCACAAACTAACGCCCAACATAATTTTTATTAAAATGTGGATTTAAATTGTTGTCATAGCAATTACAATGAATTTTACAATAGTTATTATTTCTTTGGTTTACTCTACTTAATACCTTCCTATTTTTTTAATGGTTTGTTTATATTCCATCCTTACTATAATATCATGCTTATTATATGACTAGTTCAGTAGTGAGTACATGCTACACAGGTATGTACAATAAATTGTACAAATATACAATAAAATGTATTGTATTATTAATCGTACTATCGAATATTCACGTGGACTAGTGAAACTCGCCCAAACCCCAAAGTAAGATATTATCACAGATAATTATTTTTATTTTTATTTCCTGTTGCAACCTGTTGGTATTTCTATCAAAATAAGAATTTTAATAATACAAAAATTGCTTTTTGAAGTGACTAAATGTATGAAATATATTTTTGGGAAAAATTGAGTGAATATAAAATCTACATTCACTTACTAAGTAACATGTATTATACTTAAATATGTGCTAAGTTTAAATGGGGTTTGTGAGCTTTGCCCCTACGGATCTATAATTTCAATAATTTTGCACTTGGAACACGATTTTTAAACTGATGAATTGAACTCTTCTACTTACTTAATTTTTCAAAATTCGATTTCTCCTCACTTATAATATCACGTACACTTTATACCCTGTGCTTACAGAACAGCGTGTTCTTCGGACCGTGCGTGGCTTGCCCAATGATGCTGCTGGCGTCGTTCGGTCTGGGCTACGAGGAGCACGAGATACCCAGTATCATCAGGCTGGGCATGAACTTCAGTTACCTGCGGCACGGCGTCGAGGCGCTGGTCATGTCCGTATACGGCAACGGCCGCGGCCGGCTGGAGTGTCCTAAGAGCGAGGACTACTGCGATCTCCGGGACCCTGCGGCCCTGTTCAAGACGGTCGGCATGTCCGAAGTGACGTACTGGGGATCCATGAGTGCCCTGTGCTGCATGTTCCTCATGTTCAAGTTGGCTTCGTACGTGATGCTCCGGCGGAGGCTCAGCACCAAACAGTCGCTCCTGCTCAAGCTCGGTTTCGTCGGCCGCTTCATCAAGGCCAACTTCAATATTCCTCGCTGAACACCCTATAATATTTATATACATACGACTCTATGTATCATTATGTATATATATATTAGTAGTATGTACATAACGAATATTATGACTTGAAAATGAGACGTGACGGTGCGTGTATACAGGATGTTCGCCTCACAAGTCATAATATAAATACCAAACAGCATTTGTGATATACTTTTACTATACGATAACTATACTGTAAAAAATAATTATGAAATTTATGTTTATAATACGTCATCACTGTCCTAATAATAATGCAGGTACGTACATCATATAGGTACGATTTATCGACTTGAATCGTGTGATATTTATATATATATGACGTATCTATTAAATTATATTGTACATACGATGTTGGGAAATAGGAATGACCGATTTATATGCGTGTCATATTTATAGAAATAATTTTTAAAAATATAAATAAAAGTATTTTTTAATGATTTGAAACTTTAACTATGTATATAACTAATTCTATAATCGTGATATTCGTATTACGAGCGTTATACCTATACCTATGTATTATAATATGTGTCCAAAAACATAAGGGTAAATAAAATAAGTATACAGAAAAAGTTATGTTGTTGCAAAATAGGTACATGAGTCAACAAATTGTAAATTATAGGAATTTATGATCCAATAGTTTAGACTCATTTATTATGTCCCAGAAAGAGAATTATAGTTATTTATATTAATAACTAATAAGTATATTAATATAAATAACTGAGTTATAGAGTGTACCTGGTACACTGTACCCTGTTTTCGTGGACACTTAAGTTACAATATCCATCTTAAGATAGTACTGGCCAGCTGTCCCAGTCTAGCTTAAACTCGAGATTATCTAAAATTGGTTTAAAAATTTAACTGAGTTCAAAATTAGACATGATGTTTAATTGTAGTTTAAAATACGGATAGTTAAACTAGGTTTATCAAACCAGCCAGTGGCTTACATATCACCTTAATCTTTAAACCTATACCTATATAGTATGAGCTGCAGCGCTGCAGGTTTTTCCATAATGTACTATCAACAGGTAGGTACACGCGAGCGTCTGACGTACTTTGTTGCTGAGCTGTAACAATATAATAATTAATAATAGTAATAATAATACTTGGATGGTCGTTGAAAAATAAAATAAACCTATGCTACTCTACAGTGTGAATATATGGTACATGTATAGTAGAACCTTAATGTGCGAGTGAATAACTAATGTAGGTATACCTTGTAACAATGCTTATTCATGGTTTAAGATTACTATCGGATGGTTCTGCTGCAGTTAGATACTTTGGTCCCCAGGATGATGTTTTACAATTCGTTAACTTTATTAATGATGAAAACGTGCCAACTTAAAATATTATATCCGCGCGAGAGTTTACCAACAATATATATAAAAGAGTAGGTACGATGATTATGGTCGACTCAAATTGGTCAGAGGATAATTTTTCAACAATTTTAACGCATGCGAAAACAAAGAAATCGTATGGTTGATTGATTATAATATATAATTCATTATTACCGTACAAAATTGTATAATTTTATACTCAGGTATAAGTTAAAATAAACTGAATAATTAACAACTAAGGGAAAATAAAATATCTATAATTGTACACTTTTTACTCTTTTAGTATCAAGACAGTTGAAAAATATTATCAAGCCATCCAAATGATAAGTACCTACTAATTTGAAAAAAAAATTTGAATAATATATTGAATGGAGGTCCGAAAAGTTGGGTTCAATATTAAAATGGTTTGTGGTCTAGAAGGAAATATTTAAGTTTCTATAAAAAATCATATTAGTTATTTGGGTTATATAACTCAGAGTTGATAGATAACAAGTAATAAAAATATAAATAGATACTCGTACTTCAATAAAAAAAACCTTCTAAAATATATAACACGCTATAAGTATCTACCTACATTCTAACTAATAAATTGTTAGAAATAAACTTTTTAAATTACATTTGACGAAGCGAAGTGCATGTAAATATACATACGGCTAAAATAACTATTAATTATATTCAACATCATAGCTTGTCGGCTGACGTCAAATTTAATTCTGGTCTTAAATAATTTCTTAATATAATATATTATAATAGGAAATAATCAGCAGACACCTGCAATAGATAAATTATTCATATATGCATATATAACACATAGGTACCTAACTATAATAAAATAATATTCATATTCAATTATACATCTAGCTATTTGGTAACTATCGCTGGATTGACGAAGTGTGTGCTGAACATCATATAATATACCTATACTACTTAGGGCCTAGGTATATACATCAATCGCAATTACATCACTTGAACTGTCAGTGTAATCACCTCAACCGCAGTTTGTTTGACGTTCATATATCATTATTCCTCCACTCTAGCATGTACTATATATGGACGTTTCAAAGCAACTGTGACACTATATACCTATACAATTGTATGTACATAGCAAAAATACAAGCAATAGGCACGACGACCTAATGTTTTTTTAGGATGTAGAAAGGATAGAATGTTGTTTCACACACTGCCGAATCACAAGTATGAATTAGGTAGGTATACAAGATAGTTTCTTTTTGAATATATTGAGAAAACAATAATTGTAAATTACCAAAAAGAAAAACATTGAAAGTCATCTGCCTGTGTATAATATAGTAGGTGTCGATTTTACCTCGTCATTGAAAGATCGCGCAGTAATATATGGTGTTAAATTGGAATTCAATAATAAATCAATTGTCTATAACACTGGGTGATTAATTTATCATTGAACACTTATTATTCAAAAAAGTATAAATGTTTTTGAAAAAAACGACTAGAGTCGTTAACAACACTTTTAAAAAAATGTCAATATTTAAAAAAAAATGTTATCTTCAGATATTGTTGTAAGTTTTTACTTTTTTTAATGACAACATTTTAGATTCTGAATAGAGCGATGAATGTAATGATTTTACAATGATGTGTGTTTTTATATTTGTTTTTTTTTCGTGTCTGTCATCACGGTTTCGGGCAATAATTATTGTGCTTCAATTTTCTTCAACAGCAACTTTTCTGGTAGGAAAGTGAATCTAGTTGGTGCATTCGGGAGGTTAACATTTACAATTTATATTAGTTTTTAAAAGCAACAGGAAAAACAAACGAAAAATTAAGGAAAAATTGGAATTTTTATGCAAAACCAGATTTAAAAAAATCGATTTTGGTGTTTAGTGTAACTCTAACAAAAATGACCGTAGATACATGAATTTTTCACTGAAAAATTTGTTGATATTTTGTTGGTACACCATAAGATTTTCAAAATATTTTAACTTGTGTTGAACTATTTTACAGGCATATTCAGTTTTTGATTATTATTTGTTATTTTTTAAACTAAAGTCGATAAAAAATGTTCTCTAGTTCAAAAAACTTGTAAATGTAATACAAGGTTCCTCGTAAGTTGTTGTCCATGGAAATTAAAAAAAAAGTTGAGCTTCAATCCACTTTTTTATGAGCGTCTAAACTTAGAATTTTGATCAAATTCGTAAAATTCGCGAAAATAAGCAATTTATATTTAGTTAGAAATTTATAAAAAATTTTCTTTTTATATCTAAGATTTAAAAATTTAGTAAAAAATTACCTATAAGTCTGTCTACCTTTATCAAAAAAAAATGTTCTACCGGAAAGTCAAATTAAATTGTTATGAGCGTTTGAAGTCAAAAAGATAAAAAAATATTTTAAACTATAATTTCTTAATAAAAACGTTGTTTTGTAATTACTTGAAAGTTGAAACAATGGAAGAAATATGTTTTCAAAAACATTAATACATTTTGAAGAATTAGTGCCTTATGTATGAATCACCCGATGTATACAATGAAAAAGGATTCTGAGAGGAGGCAAACTGTAGCCTAAATTTCTAAGGATATTTTAATATTTTACCATTTATTTATATTGTAATTATTGTAGTACAATATTGGTTGAACTAATTTTTACTTAAATACAAATCGCATACAGCTATTGTAAAGTAATATATTCATGATAAGATTTCAAATAATATTACTAGAAACCTATAGCTTATAGGTGTTATAACTTAAGTTAATATCGACCTACCGTAGAACGATGTGGGTAGATTTGTAAATCTTTTTGATTGAATTTATAAATATTTTGAAAATTTAAAAAATCCGAAAATTTTAAATATTCATAAAATAAATTTAGTATGATTATGTCGTAAATTATTAATTTTGCATACAAAATAATAATTAATAATTAGTTATAGGAAAAAGTTTCAAATGTATAAGATTGATATTTTTAAGATGATAACAATAAAGTGACAGGTACCAAACCAAACACAAATCTTTGTACGGCCTACACCTAATTAGTAATAAATATATTCATCTCTTCGCCCAAAATCTAATAGCTGAAAAGTTCGAATTGCGAGCGGAAAAAATCCCGTTAAAAAATCCTTGCAAAAAAATCATTTTATTAGGGAAAAATATACAAAAACGATGGTTAAACTTCTGGCATATGTTTCACAGTATACTCGAATTAAACGCGATCAATATGTAACTCCAGCTGACCAATTAGTAGTCAAAACAAATCATTCATAACATTAGAAAGCGCTTTAATGACTTAAATTATAATAATAACATATATTATTTTCTGGAGTTTTACTTAAATACTTAAATTTAAAGTGCAAATCGTGCAATTATTGTGTAATCGTGTTTTAATAAATGTTTAACATACAATCAATTTTATTTTTAATGTTTTTATTAAATGTAGATGATATTATCATCATATAATATATAAAATAGTTCTTCTTACAAATAATTTATATTTAATTAAATTTAACGTGTCAGTCACATTATTGCCTTCATTTTTACAACAGGGATTTTTTTCCAACCACCGAAAAGTCCAAATATCTGTGGATAGTACAAAAAGAACACTCGCCTTAGGTTGTTTCGCCACTGATTAGGTAAGCGATATATTATCTGAAAAAATAACAATTTAATATGAAACGATTTTTACCGGGTGGCAAAAATAAAAATAAACATTTTGTCAGTCGACATGTTATAAATAATGGACACCTACTTTACTTTAAATGGACCTTAATAATATATAATATATTACAACAACTGCTATGCATCAAGTATAAAGTATAACTTATATAGATATGTAGAGATACTATGCCTATTCGTTTTGCCATAACTGCGGAGTGCACTTCAATTATTAATACTCACGATTGACACGATTACACTATATATAATATAATATATAATTACTTGGCTATGCGCCTCACTGCGTAGCTATAATTTGTAGTGCATAGGTATATGTATTATTTTAGTTTTTTTTTTGTACATTTTAGGTCACACATCAATACTTATTCATATTATATATATTATTGTTCAGAGAAAATGAAAGTTGGCATAAATGATTTTCTCTCGTCTTATAATAAC